GACTGGCTGGACTATGCCAGTATCCACTGCTGCTCACAGTGAACTTGAAAAACAGTTAGGGTTTTGGAGGTACAGATAAAAAATGACAGGTAGTGATAAACACAAAAGCATCTCAGAGCTGTTACACCTGTGTATGTTATTAAATGATGCCTTAATCTACAGGAAGTACCAAAACCAACTTTTTTTTTCCTGATCTGAACTCAAAAGAGACCTTACCATTTGTTAATATTAACATAAAGCAAGAAGAATAGTGTCTTAACAAACTGATATAACTACTGGTGAACCTTTTCTTATCTTCCTGGCTTATGCATTTCTGCATTGGGAATAGCAAACAATATTGCTGCAGTATTCCAATTCTCTCAGATATGAAACCAGTACAATGTCTGGCCTTATAAATTTGAAGATTAATTTAGACCTTGGTCCACTTTACTACACATTCTGATATATGGTCATCAATAAGAAAGATCTGATTTAGCTTTATCATACAAGTCTACACAATTGACATTTAGGCCTGATGTCAACTAATACAAAAACACATCACCCAAGTACTCAGCTATCCCATTAAGTGAAAAGAAACAAGCATTCCAGGAGGAACAATAGATGCCAATACTGACAAGAGCAAAAATTCTCAGAGCTTGCCCCTGTCAGCTATTTCACACTGAGAAGCACTAATCAATTTCAACTTCTACTGATTATGGGGATTTGAAGGAGTTTAACACCTCCAAGAGTTGTGATCTTGAGGAGAAACAATTTAATAACAACAACAAACTGCCCGTGAACTTTCAGAATAGAATTTAGATGCAGAATAAAATACCAAACTGGCCTTTCTCTCAGATTAACTCTTGGGCTGCTGCAGATGGTCTGGAAGAAACTTAAGAGAATGCCTGAACTTAATTTACAAAGAGAAAATATGACAGGTAAGAATGCTGTATCACACACTGGGTCATTAGCACCAATTTCGTTTTCTTTTACACATACTGTTCAGTTTATATAACAGCTCTGTGTTCAATACTGTGGGGTTTCAAAACTCAAAAGAAAAAAGCATTTTGTGGTACCATTTTGAAAAACAGAAAAAGAGAATAGATAAAATAGTTGTATGTCACCACAAGCAGCACCGAACTACCGGTTAAGGTAGACTAAAAGTAGATTAGATTGTACAGGCAATATGAAACAGGATCTACTGTATTCCATTTTTAACAATGCTTCACCTTCAGCCATTTTCTATCACTTCATGCAACAGTGGGTCATTTCCCCTTCAGGAAGGATACCCTTTGCAAATAGCCCCAGCTCCTAACTTACTGTTCAAGCAGAGTACCTGCTAAAAGAACAAATTTTGAAGCACTATAAAAGCATGATAAGCAAAACAGAAACTGACATGATCCAGTTAAGGATATCTTTATATGGTGTGAGTGATGTGTGATAAGGATGCTCCTTTTACAAGACAGCATTACAAATAAAATCCGAGGAGTTTGGAGAACTTAAGAGATACTCTTGACTAGAACTCACCTCCTGTACTGCAGAAATCATATTTTATATACGCTTTAGGTTCTATTTAAAAATTGGACAAACTAGTACCTTTCAACAGTAACACCTTGTATTGAAAGGTGTATCCTGCACAGACATACCAAGCTACAGCTCTCTACACATTACAGCCATGTCCCACTGCAACAGCCCTCTCAGAAGCCTCATCAACTGTTGCCAGGTAACAGTGCAGAGGCAGCACTATGGTTTGCTCTAAGTGTCCCTTGAAGCTCAAAGCATGTACATTTTGGTCTCTCTTGTCAGACACGTGACTTTGTAGACTATCTCAGCCACAGAGGCATGCTGGCAGCTTGTTCTCCCATGCCTAGAAACCCTCTCTTAGCTCCACATTATTTGTATTTGTAAACACCTTTTTTTGAAGATATTTAAAGATATGCGGGAGATAAATATATGCACAGACTTAACAGGGTTTCTGAGAACCCCTTTACGTCAGCTATTGCAAGGAACATAAATAAAGAGTAAAACCAAAAGACATCTTGTTTTGACTTCAGTCTCAGCTTCCTGACATCTCAAACTCTTTCAGCTTCTCACTACAACCAGGAGTCCCCAGTCTCTTATTTCAAGCTTGTGTCATTTACCCTGAAACACATTTGCTCTTCTTTTCTAAGTCCTTCCTCCAGATCTCTGCAGCATGCTGGCTTTTTGTGAAAAGAGAGGCTGATTTTCCTTCAAAATGGCTGATAAGAATCTCCTTCCTTTAATCTTCCTGGCCTGCCTTGCTAGGTTCAAGCACGCTATGTGACCAGCTGAAGTCCAGCCTCCCACTTCAAAGTTTGAAAATTGATTTGTCACACAAAGTATTCATTCCTTTATTTAATGCCACTCAGTCACCAAAATTTAGTTTTTTCTCTTTGTTTTCCTTTTATTCTTTTTTTTCCCCTAGCATTTGGCAGGTGCAAAGTTTAATTCAACCAATCTACAGAAGCAGAAGCGTAACAAATAAGGCAAATAAAACCATGCTAACAAAATCAAAATGATGCTTTTAGTCTGACAGATTTACACAAAACCCTTCCCAATGTCAACCAGAAATTACATATTGTATATAGATTCCTTGAATTGTTCCAGCTGTCAGTAAACTTTTACTATACTCAGATTTCTGTAAATGGACTTTCTCCCATCACTACTCTTCACATAATGGAAGGTTTGTTACCCAGCTTAGAAAAACAATGGTTGCATCAACAGGTTATTCACTTGAGGGTGTTCCAGCAAAAACAATATATTGTGCTGTGTTTTTGGAAATTGCCATATCAGATTTATATCCTCATGGTATCAATTGTACAAAGGTAATTCTCTATAATGAATTATTTATTTCCTGTAGTAATAGACATTTGAGATAGTCATAAATATTTCTATGTCCAGTTAGCTCACTAATGAAAACTGAAGTAATTCTACAATGGGATGTTATATCAGAGGCATGGGGACCTAACAGTCTGCTCAACTTTTACGTTAGTGAGGACAACCACTATGTGGGAAGCAACAGGACATAGACAAAACCTGCTTCTGAAAGCATGGTACAGCAATGGGCTAAGGTATCAAGATGGACTATTTCGGTGTGTATTCCAGAAAAAATATCTGTTCTCCCAATTTGTAAAATGTGTGGTAACATCCTCTAATCATACTCCCTTGCAATCCCTGGGCCTCTCGCTAGAATACCAGATTCCTCTTCAGCAGTGGAAATATCTCTTCTTAGATAATGAGTTATTGGTTTGTGCATTGACCTTTGCAACTCCACTATCTTTACAGCATCTAAGAAATACTTTTGGTTGCTGACTGCCTGAAAGTAGTTCAGTACCACCTATGGATTGCGGGGCACAAATTTCTTCAAGTTAGTTGGCTGTACTGATATCACCCCATACCTAAACCAGATCAACACAAACAGCTAGAAAATGAGTTTATTTACTGCATTCATAGTAAGACAATGCACTTTACCAGGGTTTGCAATCTGTTTGTTCATCAAGTAATTGCTTTCCGTCTTCTGGAGAAGCTGACTGCTTTAGGTCTCATGTGAAAAGTCTCACCTACCACATAACACACTTGATTATTCACACTTGGCTCAACTTCTCACAACCTATTAGTTCATTGTGAAGCATAATATTAGCTGGAAAATGGCCAAACCTCAGTAAAAAAAGCCTCTCTAAATGGTAACATTTACTTTTTATACATTTGTCATATTGTAAGTTCACAACCATCCTTTAAGCAGACACATAAATGGGATCAAGCTGTGTCTCACAGTTAAATGAGTTAACAGAAGCTGCATTTGATAATAATGAATGTTGCTGAAGTTAGTGTTTAGCATGCCATCCTATTTTTGAAGGATGCTTCAAAAACAAACAAAGCATTTCCAAGGTAAAACTACAGATCTCTCGCCTAATTCAGTCCAGAAACAGGGAAACACTACCTTCATGAGTTTGACAGCACAGGTATGACTGCAAACATTAGGAAATAACATTACAGACTATGCATGCTGCTTTCCTCTCCTCAATACTGAGAAAGGTCAGCCACAAATGAATAATGATTTTGAAACTGCAAATTCATATCTCAGTTTTAGGGGGAAAAACCCAACCCATGTGACAGTGACAGGTTAGGGAAAGCTACGTTCTGCTGGACTTGTTCTCTGAACAATAACTCTTTCAAGGACCTCAAATCTACAGTGATTTCAGAAATTATTCACAGGCCTCCTAGACTCCAGGAAAAAAAGGGAAGAGAAAAAACAAGGAGATTTAAACCACAGTTCATTCTGTACTTTCAACTACTGATTGTCAATGAAAAAGGAAGAAAAAAATCTTTCAGATGACAGATTCTAAAACAGTTGATGTATTTGTAATTCAGACATAGAAAGGAAGTACAGTACAGGAATTTCAGTGCAATGTCACAAAATTGGAAACCATATGGTACTCCACATAAAAACAAAATGCATTACACATTTGAATTTCACTACATGTACAAAGAAAACACTTTAAAAATGTAACTGTCAAAAGATGAAGAGACAATCATGCAAGTTTAAAATTTAAGCAGGTCACTGGCAGAGAACTTAAGGAAAATACTGCAAAATCCAGAATTAATCATTGACAAGGCAATTCGATTGTGTCAACAGCTGAAGTCATCCATGGCAGAATGACTCCAGTCTTGAATGGCCTTTAATATAATTAAGGTGTTCATGAATCCAAAACATTAAAGAGAAAACAGACTTGCAGCAGACAGGCATGTAAGCTCTGACTGAAGCAAGATCAGCATATAAAACTGCCTATCAACTATAACAATGAGCTGAGAATAATGTCCAGATATTTTGCAAAAGCTTGCAGTGTCAGGGCATTTATTTCTCTTGGAAACTGCACTTAAGCAGAGGACTTCATCCTTGTCCCTGTCCAGGCTATCATACCGCCATGTCTCTGCCTTCGCATGCACCTCACTCATTCAGACCCAGGCACTAACCCATGGACTTGATCTTCTCAACAGACCTTGAGTCTGCCTTGTTCCTCCAGACCAGCCTGGCTGTTCATGCATTGTCAGCTGACTGGCTGCCATCCCTACGCCTGACTCCATGCCTGCCTGGGCTCCTGACAGGATCCCCTATGCTCAGTGTTGCCACAGGCCTGATGCCTCACTGGCACCCATGGCTCCTGGCTCACAGGGCAGCCCAGCCCACCCCACATGGCAGAATGCTTACTGGTACTTTACTCAAGGCTTTTTTCTGTTAGTCTCCCTCAAAACATGCAAAAGCTTGCAAACTTTTCAAACCAATGCGTAGCGAGACCTGCAGACCTACAGATCCGTGAGTGTGTATCAAGACAGTAAAACAGTGAGATCAAATAGGCTGATAAACACATGAGCCAGATAAATTTTTCTCATTATCACTATTTTCACCTTCTAAAAAGGAAGACAAATGAAGATGCACATGCTACAGCATTACCTGGTTATAACTGTTAGGGTTCACAGACTCTTAAACACATGTTTATTGTCCATTTCTTATGTTAACACCATTTCAATAGAAAACATTCATTGAAACAAAAAGGAATGTAGTTTGGAACTTATTATGCAAATATTTTAAGGCAAGCAAACTCCTTCTTGTATTTTTTTCTTTTTATTTTCCTTTTCCTCCTTCACACAGAATAAGCAAGCATTTGAGGCCATTAGGATATTCTGGTTTTAGTTAAGTAATTATTCAGATAACCAATATTTAATTACACAGAAAACCACATTGTAAAGTAGAACCTTATTTCAGGGACAGCTTTTAAAAATTTCTTTCTCCCAAAACCTAGTTTCAAATTTAATAATTTTCTTTCTTCTATTAAATAAACAGCTCCCATAGAATCCCAGCAATTCAGTATGCATTATTTAACAAAATTAGTCTTTGCCACAAATGATAAAATTATTCTGATTTGTATGTCTCTGGAATTCATGCAAGAGTAAGGCCAAGTTTGAACGCTAACAAAGTATTCTTCTGCCTAATGAAATATTCATAGTCATTTGTCATCAAGACTTTAATAACGAGAAATACAGGCTTCTCACTTCTGTCAGTCTAAAGGACTAGCAAAGATCATTCATTCATTTAATTCTGAATGTCTCCTGAAGCACTCATAATAATTTCTTCTTCCCATACAACACAGTACTAGAGATATTTAAAATTTACTTAAAAAGATGACTCCATATTTCAGGTAGAAAAACAAAGTTTATATATGTGCATCACCCAAAACTTACAGAAGTTTTCACCATTAAAACTTCACACTACCACTATGTTTTCCACATCTCTCCAGATGTATCATTAAGATCAGGAAAAATCAGATTAAATAAAGAATGAAAGCTACACTACATCATGTGGAGGCAAATACAATAAAACTTTAAGACAGCTTTATCAAGAACCATACCTTGAGGCAATGCCATCATTGCAGCCTTCTTGTCCAGAGTATAGCCTCGAAGGCTAAAATGTTGCGTTTTACATTTCTGTTCTCATGGAACTAATCAGATAGCAAAAGATGTGCCCCTGGACACAGAATTTTAACATGTGGAAAGATCACCCTAATTTAAGAAGGGGGATGCCTTCTGTTCCTCACCACATCTGTTTCCAGGAAATGCACTTTATCTGATTTAACAAGTACACAAAATTGCATTCTCAGGTGTTACTTGTATATTTCATCCCTAGTTTTTCAACTTGTCACAGAGAGCACTCACTTTCCAGCTCAGACAGTGGATGAATTTTCTATTCCAAAAGTCTTTTGGCAGAGTGGTCAAGAGGTGTTCTTTCCACAGCAGCTAGCGTGTTGCTGTGAGGAAACATGAAACCAAATATGTTTTCTCGGGAGTGCTGCTGAATTCTGTGAAGTTCTCAGCTGAGCAACCTTAAGCCATCAGAAATCACCACATTACCACCTTTTGCCCAACTACTAAATCATTTAGTTTCTCTGTATTACAGTCAGTCACCATAGTTCTTCACTCTTGAAACTGAAAAGAGGTCAAGCTATCACTAATGAGAAGCAACTTAACCTTACATGAATCATCCACATATTCTTTTAGTTTGTTAGCTGACTTCTGCACAGCCTCCAAATCTTCTGCCAGCATATAAACTGCTTCTGAAGCTATAAAACAAACATCAGCAAGGGAGTTGCAGTAACATCACTTTCCTACATAACAGCAGTTATTAAATTCAAGTCACTTACTCTAACACCAGTCCTTCCTCCTCATTTGATGACACTATACATGGTTTTTCATACAGCAATCAGTTTAGTTTTATAATTTTTCACTAAGACAGTGTCTTGCCACAAACCATGAAGCACCATACTAGATATAGCTTATAAGCAAATTGCTTACCTTTTGATATTTATAAAGTGTTCATTACAAAACAATGTAAGATCAACAGCTGAAAAATATCTTCTTAATTTAACAAATGGGGAATTTTCCCCATTAACATAGTTGCAAATGATTTTAAACTATTTTCCAAAAGTAAAAAAGAGAAAGTGATTTTTAAATAATCTTAAGTTTTGAATATACACTCTTTTCCCTTGAATTCATTTTTAATCATAGGAAGTTTTTCAATTTATGTACTATATCTACTGTATTTATCTCATCATGACTCCTGGCTTGCCTCTCAGAGCCATTAATTCAATGCTCCTCCTGCTACAGTTGCTTATACCATAGATGACATTTATGTTAGGTTTGTTTCTGCAGAAGAAAATGTATTGGAAAAGGTAGTCTGACAGGTCTTTATATCCATTTCACAGGCTAAATACAAGTTATAAAGATAATTCATGTAACTGACAGAAATGATGACAGAACAAGTGGAGACAACAAGATGCACACCAAACATGTCCTCTTCTTTCAAGTGAGTTGGAATTAATCACATCTATCATTCATCCTTCCAGTAGGTTTAAAATACAGTGTAAAAAATATACCAGGAGATATGAAAACAGCCATATCACTATACATGTTTTACAATCACTCGTGCTTTATGCACTAAGTTTATTTCCCATGTATGCAGGAAAACTGCTGTCAAAGGCAATATTGCATTCTTTCAATATCAGAAAAAAGGCTTTTAATTTTTTTTTCTTTTGGGACAGATTTTATACCAATTCTGTAGAGAAAACAGAATGATGTATCAAATAGCTCAGCGATAAGTAGTATGGACATACTACAACCTGACAGGATTGTCCCATGGCAGAGAGGAGGTCAGTGAATATTTGTTACATCCAGACTGTCCAGTAACATACTTAGAGATCAGAAACTTGAAGAATCCTGAAGGAGAAGTGTTTCTGCTCTCCATACACCTCCAGGTTTTTTTAAGGTATTAAAAAGTATGCAGTAACCAGGACAGGAAATTTTGCAACAATTTCTGCTTTTTCTGAATGGAGTAACAGCTTTTAATTTATTTTTTTTTAAACAAATGTGTCAGTAGCATGACAAATTCTGCAAAATCTGCAGTGAGATGCTAAGCATTTGCACAAAAATAATTTTCTACCATCAGCCAGAGTCTTGGTATGTTCAGAGAACTGACTTTCAGGATACCTTAATCCTACAAGCAACCTTTTCTCTGAAAAATCACTGCACCACACTAAGCTACTTCTCTATTTCCATTTTTTTGTGTTCATAGTAATTCTTACTTTGTGTTAAAATTTTGTATATATTCTGTACATACTTACAAAGAACAAAAAAAGGAAAAAGAGGAAGAGGGTGGGGGAGAGATGGGGGGAGAGAGAAAGAGAGTTACTGAAAATGTTTGTCCTGTCTTTCAGGCACAAATTAACTATTTCTACACTTCTGTTCGTGCTAGCCTGGGTAACAGAGAATAGTAGAAGAGGGAAGATCATGGAAGAGATAAGAACTCTCAACACTGTTGGCCACCAAAGACTAATAGAACAAATTATTCTTACAGTGAACCACAATGAACCATTTCCCTCTTTCTGTCACATTTGCACAATGCCTAAGCTGAGGGTAGAAGTAGCAGAGAACGCTACTAGAAATCAGGAAACTTTCCACTTGGAAGAGTTCAGTAAATTCTGCTTGTGCAGGGAAGTACTTAGGAAACAAAACAATAGATGGGATTTTTCTTTTTCCAAGAGGTAGTCAAATGTAAAGACAAGACTATCTTTGCGATCAGGACCATTCTTCTAGTTCTATACCTATCCAGGAAATTATAATGAGTGGAGACAGCACTCTTCCAAACTGTTTTGAGCAGCATTTTCTGTTGCTTCAGATTTCAGTGCTAGGAGAAAATATTCCTTAAATATTCCTATATTTTCCTTTATTATTCACAAAAAAGTGCCAGAGATGCCTCTACTTTCTTGTATCTACTTTTATATACAACACATCATTTCCATATGAATCTCAAATCTCAATTTAGCTTAGAACTTACAGCTGTACTTAAGCTGCCCATGGTAAAACAAGTGACTTCCCCTTTGCAAGATACCTCCCCCACTGTAGACTATTACAAAGTCTTAACTAAAACATTTACAATATGCTGCTTATTAGTGACACGGAGTCCTCCTGAAAAAATGTTATGCAATAAATTTCTATCTCCTTAAAGCCACAGGTAGAAAATAAAACACCTGGAACAAGGAGATGCAGGACTGCAGTTAAAAAGCTCTACTTGAGACCTGCACACCTGGGTCCAAATGTAAGAAAGAGGAAAGGCTGGGAAGGCAGCAAAGGTGAGGCACAACTGCATACCTACAAGTTCAGTACAGCCTCCATCACAGAGCCAGAACTGTGTCAAGGATAGAGTAGAAGATTTACTTGGTACTATGACAATCTGATACACCTTGGGCTTTGGGCACTCTTACCAGTAAAGGTATAATCACTGCATCACTGCACTCCACAAGATCATCCACATAGTTCCCAAAATATTTATATGTCTTCAAGTCACAAGAAGGAGAAGAAGCTGTGGCATATACTACAAATCACGTGCATTCTACAGATATATCTATCTTGCAAAAACATCTTCGTCAAGGACACAGGCATCTGCTAGCTAACAGGAGTCCAATCTTTTATACACATGGATAACTGCGTATCTCTGCAAAAATTGCACTAATCTAACT